AAACTAAAAAGAAAAAAAAATATATATATACAGTGTGTCCCAGGATAGATGTTACAAGAGGTATAATGACTTAAAAATTTTAGAATTTTATTTTAACGCTAAGGAATTAAGCCCTGCTTGGCGTGAGGAGAATTTTAAGAATATTTTCATATTTTGAAAATTAACTCGGCATTGATAGTGAAGCAAAAATTATTTTGAGTTCAGGTAAAGTCAGCTTCTTGTTCATGATACGGCAAAATATCAATAAGAAAGTTGTTCAGAATGAGAAATTATGGCACTATGCAAAATTTCAGAAAGATCTACCTACATTGATTAAACCATCATATTTTAGATTAGATCAGAGTGAAGAAAAGAAAACAATGAAAAATGTCATGAAAAAAAAATGACTAAGTAGTCGTAAATATTGACAAATAAATGGTATTATCCTTCAGTTTTAGTTCACATTTCAATTACTATAAAATATTTATGTTATTTAAACTAAAATGTGATGGTTTAACCAAACTAGATAGATCCTTCTGAAATTTGGTATAGGACCATAATTTCTCATTTTGAAAAACCTTTCTTAATTAACTTTTTCCGTATCAGGAACAAAAAGATTACTTTACCTAAACTAAAAATAGTTTTGGATTCATTGTCAAGGCCGCTTTTGTTTTCAAGTTATGAAAATATTCTTAAAATTCTCCTCACACCAAGCAGGGCTTAATTCCTTAGCATTAAAATAAAATTCAAAAATTTTTAAGTCATTATACCTCTTGTAACATCTATCCTGGGACACACTGTATATACACTAATTCGAGTTGAAGGTAGAACGACGCGCTAGTCATTAAGCAATTTAAGACGCAGAGACCTTTTAAAAGTGCGAAACGATGGTTGAGCAAAAAGCAGACTGTACTTATTCAAAACACATGCCGCGTTATAACTAAAACACCTCTTAAACAATTGGGTACGGTGACGAGGAATGTCAATGAGGTCCTTACGCCGTACATTAATATTATAAATGTTCGTTCTGTAAGTAATTTTGTTGGTGAGGTACGGTGGTAGCTTACTTGACACAACTTTATAAAGAAAACAACCAAAATGTAACCGACGACGACTTGACATATTCAGCCACTTCAACTCCCCCAGCTTACGATACTCTCTGACGTCGGCGTATACCAAATATAAAACGAATACAAGAATTCTGAACTACCTGAATACGTCGCGCATCAGGAGTCAACAGGCAGTGGCCGTAAATTGTGTCACAGTATGTAAAATTGGATAAAATTACAGACTCGCAAAGATTCTTTTTAATATCGGCGTTCAAAACTTGCCTATGAGCAAACAGCATTTTCAATTTTGCGTAAGCACGCCTGATCAGTTCACTTGTGTTACATGTAAACCTTAAGCTGTCGTCAATGTAAAGACCAAGATCCTTGACACAGACCTTCCTCTCCAATGCAATTCTATCTATAAAGATATGGGCCATATTGCTGACAAGCGCTCTGGATTCCCTACCCCCGAATACCATATAGACCGATTTATTCCCATTTAACAAAAGACCATGTTCCTTAGTAATATTTAAAAATGTATCTAAATCATTGTTTACATCTGCAACAGACTCTAGCACATTATTTGAGCTAAAGTTGTGTGTCATCCACATAGATATGAAATTTTGAGCAAAAGCGGTCAAAGATCAACATTTGAGACGTATAGATAGTGAACAAAAGGGGACCCAATGTAGAGCCCTGCGGCACACCAGACCTCAATACGGCAGGATCCGACACATCATTATCAATAATCACATACTGACTTCTCCCGCACAAATAAATAATTATTAAAAAAAATTAAGGCTGTATTATTGAACCCAATATAATGAAGAATTGCTAAGAGAAGTTGATGATTAATAGTGTCAAACGCTTTATGGAAGTCAAGTAAAACCAAAATATCATCAATAATTGTCGAAAGTGCGGTTACACAACTATACCCAGGCCTAAACCCTGATTGGATGAAGGGCAGAATATGAAACCATTCCAAGTGCTCACGTATTTGCTCCGCCACGACCCTTTCCAAAATTCCCGACAAAGTACTCAAGATAGTAATTGGCCTCACATCCGAGAAGGAAGAAGCAGTCGATGACTTAGGTATAGGAACAACTTTGGCAGATTTCCATTTCTCAGGAAAGACACCAAACTCTAAACAAAAGTTAATTACATGCAGGAGGTAGGGAGTTATGTGTGGACAACAGAAACCCAACATCCTAAGGCACAGACATACCAGTCACAGACAAACTTTATTTCTCTCTTACAACTGAATCTGAGATTTTAAGCATCTTAAGGGGAATAAAATCTAACTCAACGGGTATTGATGGTATAACTGCTAAAATGATTGTTTTGTGTTGTCCCACTATTTTACCTTTCTTGTGTCACGTTGTTAACTACTCAATCGAGCATTCCGTATTCCCTGATGTCTGGAAATGTGCCTTGGTCACCCCAATCCCTAAAACTTCTAATCCCCGGAAGTTGAGTCATTTACGCCCTATTAGTATCTACCCCTACTCTCCAAAGTGTGTATAAGAGTCATAGCCGAAAGACTCCGACATCATCTCGATTTGTTTGATATCTTACCAGATTGTCAGTCTGGTTTTCGTGCGGGTTTTAGTAGTTCTACTACGCTGTTGGCGGTGACGGATGAAATTTTAAAAGCTATTGATAATAAACAAGTTACAATCTTAATTCTTTTGGATTTTTCTAAGGCATTTGACCGAATTCATCATGAAACTTTATTGGCCGTATCTGAAGAATCTATCCACTTTATCCAAAGTTACTTATCTAATCGAAAACAGTCAGTGGTACTTAATGATTAAACATCTGGGGCTGTGGATATTGTTTCTGGTGTCCCACATGGGTCTATTTTGGGACCTCTTTTATACTTACTTTCCACCATTGGTTTTGCGGATGCTATTGATTATTGTACACCATATATATATGCTGATGATACACAGCTTCTTTATTCCTTTAATCCATACAATTATGAGACAGCGGAAAGAAATATAAATCATGATTTACATAAGATTGTGCAGTTTGCCGCTAAACTCTGTCTTCATATAAACGCTTCCAAGTCATCGGCCATGGTTTTTGGAGACAAATCCTCTGTAGAGTTTGTAAAATCCAATCTTCATTTGGTGATTGGCGATAATGAGCTGGTGTTCGGGGACAATGCTAAAAGCTTGGGTATTATTATTGATGAACGTCTCCGTTTCTGTGAACATGTTCAGTCTCTTCTACGGAAAGCCTATGCTACTTTAAGGTTGCTTTATAATAATAGGTACATCTTAAACCAAAAATTGAAACTACAGCTTTGCGATGCTCTTGTTTTGTCTATATTTAATTATGGTGACGTTGTTTACCATTCATGTCTTGATAGTGTACACTCGGATAAGATTCAAAAACTTCAAAACTCTTGCTTGCGATTCATTTACGGTATCCGTAGAAGAGACCGCATATCACACGCACTAGTGTGGGCTGGATGGCTAAATATGTCACGACGTAGAACTCTTCACTGCCTGTGTCTCTACCATAAAATTATCTTGCATAAAAGACCTCCTTATTTGTACAATAAAATTAAATTTCGTACGGATGTTCACCACATTAATGTTAGGCATAGGCATGCCTTGACGATACCTCTTCACCGCCTAGAAATGTTTAAACGTAGTTTATCTTATTGTGTGCCTAACATGTATAATCGGTGACCTGATTCAATTAAGAAGCTTGGTCTGCTTTCCTTTAAGGGCATGGTTAAGAAGTTTTTGGGTGGGTGAGTGAGCAATGGAAGGATTTAAAAAAAAATTTTTTTTCTTTTTTGTATACGATTATAAATATTTAAAATTTATTTAAATATTATTATGACTTGAATCATATAATTATATTGTTTTGATTATTATTATTATTTGTTGTATTTTTTTTTCTTGATGGGTAATTGAAAAACAGGACGACCTCGGATTTTCTTTGGTCGCTCTGACATGACTCTTTTTGATTGGAGTTGTATTTTCTTCATATATTGCTATGTACTTATGTATTTCGTTTATTACTTATCAATAAATATTATTATTATTATTATACCATCAATCCCTGCCACTTGACTCGACATCCTCATCAAGATAATATTGATCTTAGATTCATTTACTTAGTGACACAAACTTGTAATTTTTCTAATGGAAACCATAGTTGGCCATGACTTTATAAAAAAGGCCTTTTCTCAACGATTATAATTACGTGATTTTTATTTTGATCATTAATCTTGCAACATGAATATTCCTTTAGAACAATTTTTATGGCGCCCCTCTACCTTTCTTTTTCATATCATAATAAAATACGACGTATATTATACGTTGAAAATTTTGACTAATTTACGAAATTTTAGGTAACCAATTCTTTTTATTAGTAATTACTAATAAAAAGATTATTATTATTATTCCTTTTTCGTTTTTTTTTTTTTTCATTTTGAGGTGCTGACGCCCTCCTAGGGGGGCATTCATTTCAAACAAAAACCTTTTCTAAAATTAGAACATTACACACTATCATTTAATCAATTTTTTGTTTACATATTAAAATAAAGTATGTTTTAAAGTTTTTATATTGTTAGTTTCATTTGAACCTGCTTACCGTCTTTCATTACAATTACCAATTTACCAAACTGTGTTAGGCGAACGAGAGGTTTAAAAAATATTTTGTAGGTATCTGCGAACGTATGTATGTTAAGTATTGTGATTAAATTTGAAAATAATTCTCAAGTACTATTACGCATTAATAAGTAAAAAGGGAAGTAATAATTCTATCAAATTATTTTGTAATTTCGTGCCATTATAGAAGCAGGCTAATTTTGATTGGAATACTATTATTTTTTGTTATCATCCTCAGGTTAACTATCTAGAGATGGCAAAAGTCACTTAATAAAAACGTTCAAAGGAAGTTTAAAATATAAGGATTTTTAGATACTCAAAGGAATTTTTTTTAAAAAACATCTTTACATTTTTATTTTTTATTCCATTACATACAATGTAAAGGAACACCATATAAATACACTTTTTAACGATTAGATTTCGCTACACGTTCCAATTCGTCCTTCTTTTTAATAGCATAAGAGTTTGAAGATCCCTATAAAGAAAAAACAAACATGAAACAACAGAACAAACTCTAATAAACTAAAATTTAATTTTATAAAAACTGTTCAAATCATATCCTTTCTTTCCAAACACAATTTAGCGTTTAGAATAAACGATACAATGCATTAATTTTGTCCTTAGCGAAACTGCAAAATTTAAGAGAATTTCAATTAAGCAGCATTAGAAAGGACCACGTTTCAAAATAAAAACATATATTATTTTTTTATTACCTTTGCCGCATTGATAAGTTCATCAGCTAAACATTCAGCTATCGTTTTAATATTACGGAATGCAGCTTCACGGGCACCAGTACAAAGCAACCAGATGGCTTGGTTAACACGCCTTAAAGGTGACACATCCACAGCTTGTCTTCTTACAGTACCAGCACGACCAATACGCGTCGAATCTTCACGTGGTCCAGAATTAATAATGGCAGTTACCAAAATCTAAATAAAAACAATTACTTAAAATTTGAACAAATAAAAAATTCTTTATTTATTGTTTATGTAAAGTAAACAATCAGATAATTTTTTTAAATATGTATCAACAAGGTTTATTTTCTGAAGAGGTGTCAGAAAGTAAATGGATATCATCATTGTATAGTAAAACCTCAATATAATATAATCAATAGACTAATAATCAAGACAAATAAAATCAATCAATAGACTAACATGGGGAATGGAGTGTACATAATATGAAAAGTTTTTAATTTGCACTTTGAACTATTGCAATGAATAATTTTAATGCACTACACCTAGAAACATTCGGGTTTACTAGTCTTAAAGGACGTATGGTTAACCCCGAATGCTTCTAGTCCTAGTATTAATTCCACTTTTAATTCAGTAAAAATGTACAACAATCCAGTGCTGAATAACAATTAAAACTAGAACTACCGTTCTTGATTTATATATCATATAAACAACTCAGGCAATACCCTGAGTTGGATTTTATCTATGAATGTGAACAATTCTTTTTAAATACACTGATATATGAAATAGATAATATTAATAGTATAATTTAAAAATATTTTGTCTGGTATATTGAGGTGTTACTGTAATTATTACAAAAATTGATTTAATTGATAATCTTTTTTTTACCTGAAGTGGGTTTTCTCCAGTTAATAAATGGATAATTTCAAAAGCGTGTTTAACAATGCGGACTGCCATTAATTTCTTTCCATTGTTACGACCATGCATCATAAGTGAATTTGTTAAACGTTCCACAATTGGACACTGTGCCTTCCTGAATCTTTTAGCAGCATAACGACCAGCAGAGTGAGGCAAATATTTAGCATTCTTTTCTTTCACTGCAATGTAATCCTAAAATAAGTAAATATTTAACAAAAAAATTTTGGTAATATCAAAATTTAAATAATATTAAAAATGAAAAAAAAATTATCAGATTGACCGTAATTATCAACAAATTTTATTCTGAAGAGGTGTCAGAAAAAATAAAGGTATTTCATCATAATAACATTAAAAATTTTTGATTTAGAATTTGCTTAGCACAAAAATTTTTTAATTATGTCTAAAATTTCAAATAAATTGTCCACACAATATCCTTTTACGAAATGAAAAATTTTTCATTTTGAATACAAAAAGATATTATGCATTAATTTCGTCCTTAGCGAAACTACAGAATTTAAGAATACAATTAAGCAGCATTAGAAAGGACATTCTAAACATTGGTATAATTTAAGAATCATCATGTCGCTTAAAAATCGATATTTTTTTTTTAATCGACCGGAAGACACTTAACTAAAGTAAGTCGTTAAAATAAAAAAATAGTGCGGAAAAGAGTAAAACTTACCGAAAAATCACTTTAAAGTTTCGCCGTGACCTCACTTTTTGTGACGTCATCGACCGTGTTAACCATATACACTGCCTCAATAAAGTCTCCGTACAAATTAAATTTTAAAACTTCTATAAAAAATTTAAAGAAGATGCACCTCCAAGGTAATGAAAAACTTGTTAGGATGGATAAAGAAATGTAAGGAATTCGAACTATAGCATTTATTTCAAAATTGAACGTTTTTGGGATTTATAAAAAAATAAATACAAGAAAAAGCGTAAATTCTACGCACAACAAGTCTCTGTACACGGGCTACCTTAGATTATTCTCCCACCAGTCTTAATTCCCTAGACGCGTATGTTCTCGCAAAAAGACTACTGTAGTTCGATGTCGTATTCAATTTTTGCATATTTATTAAAAAAGAGTACAAGGCACCGCCAAATTTCACAAAGCATTCGAGATTTGACTGTTAGTTTACAAAAATCACTAGGTGAAATTAGCAAAATTGTAAAAAAAGCGTGTTCGTCAGTGCAGAACATCATAGATAATTATAATAAAACGGGATCTACAAAAATATAGCTTCGTACAGGACGTCCTAGAGCATTAAGTGTTCGAAATGAACGCGCACTATTAAATAAAATACGTGAAAATCCTAAGGTAAGCGCTTCCTAAATCGCTAACGTGCTAAATTCTGTATCTCAAAGCACAGTAAGTGCACAAACAATTCGAAATGTTCTCCAAAAACAAAATGGACATCATGGCCGCATATCTAGGAAGAAAAGAACCGTACAAAACAACTGGAATTTCCAACAAATACATTTCTAAAGACGATGAATTTTGGAAATCACTAATTTTTAGTGATGAAACAAAAATTAATTTATTCTATTATGATTAACGCAAAAAGTTTAGCGAAAACGTAACGGACCATTCAAACGAGAAAATTTGTGCCCAACAGTAAAATATGCAGGTGGTAGCGCTACGTTGTGAGGGTGTATGTCAGCTGCTGATGCAGGGAATATGGCATTTATAAACGGTATCATGGATAAACGATACTACCTTGATATTTTAAAAAATAATTTATTAGAAAGTGCTAGAAATTTTGGGATTGGGAGATGATCATACTTTTCAACAAGACAATGATAAAAATTGCACACGGTAAAAATTGTGTGCTTCTGGCTGCTGTACAATCCCCAGATCTGAATCCCATAGAACATCTATGGAATGAGATAAAGAGCAAAATAAGACAACATCCCATAAAAAATTTAAACGAATTAAAAGCTAGAATAAGGGAGGAATGGGGCAAAATAGATCCTGCTATTACCCAAAAATTGGTGGCTTTAATGACGAGAAGATTAGAAGCAGTTATCAAGAGTAAGGGTTTATCCCATTAATTATTAAGTGTTTATTTAAAATTTTTTTTTTTGAGGTTGTACAGAGACTTGTGCATAGAATTTACCCTTTTTCTTGTATTTATTTTTTAATAAATCCCAAAAACGTTCAAGTTGGAAATAAATGTTACAGTTCGAATTCCTTACATTTCTTTATCAATTATAACAAGTTTTTCATTACCTTGGAGGCGTGTACCATCTTTAATTTTTTTGTAGAAGTTTTAAAATTTAATTTGTACGGAGACTTTATTGAGGTAGTGTATTTTCGCAGCACATTTGAAAAACGCATATTTTCGGGTGAAATAAAGTTGTTTCTTAGGTTTTTGACTAGTGATGGAACGGATAGTAATTTTGTGAAAAGCAGAATACCAGATATTATCTATACCGGACATATCTATCCTTCCATTATGGTTATAATTTCTGGTGCATTTCTGAAGTGATACCCTACTACATTGCCACATTATTGCAATATTTGAATAAAAATAAAATTAATAAGAAAGCTGATAAGATATGTCAACTTATTTGGATCCAAGATACAAAATGAACTTTTTTGATGCAGATTTAACAAACGATGTTATGATGAATTACAAGCGAAGAGAAGAAAACTAGACGAAACAGCAACAAGAGATTTTAATCATATTGGGATAATCACCATGAGGTTGCTTTGCTAATGACAAACCGAAAATAAATAAAGTTATATTACATGAAAAAAATCCTATTGGGGCTGAACTGGATTATTATCTGCAGTGTCCAACACCTAAAAAAGATACTAATTCCTGTGAATGTTGGAGTACTAAATAATAGGTTTTTAATATCCGGCCAAAGCCGGATATTTGGTAACTATCCGGTATCCGGCCGGATTTTAAAGAATGGCCGGATAGTTGCCGGATATCCGTTCCACTACTGTCTTCATAGAGGATGCGAAAATGCCTGATTAATGGCCATACTGTTTACTTCTTATAATGCCGGGTTTATACAGAATTTAGCTGTAAATTTAAATATTTAGATTTAAGGATTTTATTTAGCTTTAAG